GGGGGACTGCCTCAGTTTCCATCGCAGCCATTGTCAGAAGGAAGAGAGTCAAAGTCCTTCCTAAGTGTAAAACTGAAAGCAAATTGGCCTTTGGAGTCATTCATTCTTGCTCTTTTTAATGAGCAGAATGCATTATTTTTGGGGAGATTGGTTTCCATGCTAATTTTTTTGTTTTTGGTTGGTTGTGTGGCTTGAACTCTGGGCTTGGGCACTGTCCCTGCGCTCTTCAGCTCAAGGCAAGTGCTCTACCACAGTGTCAGTTCCCGTTTTCTAGTGGTTTATTGGAGATGAGTCTCATGGACTTTCCTGCTGGGGCTGGCTTTGAATCCTGATCTTCAGATCTCAGCCTCCTGAGTAGCTAGGATTACAGGTATGAGCCACTGGCACCCGGCCATGCTAATTTTTTAACCCTCTCTTTTGCTTTCATGTGGGGCTTTCTCTGTTTCTCCCTGCCACCATTTTTACACTGACAGTGTGGGTTTGATCTGATTCGTAGTTTAGCCATAAGCTGTCAGAGAATGAAAATCACTTAAGAGGTCATGGACTAGGAACTAGACACCAAGAAGAAACAAGAAACAATGCTCGTGTAACCTGACTTACCCTATGTACAACTGCTTCAAATTTTTTTTAAAAGAACAAGGAGCAAAATGAGGAGCTTATTATGGTTGACGCTACGCAGAGTCTAGTTCAGTTCCGTGGCCACCAGCAGCTCCACATCTTGAAGAAGCTGGATGTCACCATGTGATGCACCCCATACAGTGGTCCCAGGACAGCGAAAGTTGCTACCAAAGTAGCCCCTCTGTAAGAATACCCACCAATAAACCCTACGTCTGGTCCATCTAAAATAATATTAATATTAAACATATCACCAATAATATTAAATATATTAATATTAACATCATTAATTAGTTTAAGTGATAATTATAATAGAATTAATACTTATATTAGTAATATAATGCTAAAATAGTCCTAATAAACTTAGAACTGTTTTACTAAATGTCTTATTTTTATTTTTTGTTATTATAAAGGTAATGTAGCCAGCGTGGTGGCTCACGCCTGTAATCCTAACTACTCAGGAGGCTGAGATCTGGGGATTGCGGTTCAAAGCCAGCCCAGCGGAAAAGTCCATGAAACTCTTATCTCCAACAAACCACCAGAAAACCAGAAGTGGCGCTGTGGCTCAAGTGGTAGAGCACTAGCCTTGGAGCTGAAGTGCTGAGGGACAGTACCCAGGCTCAGAGTTCAAGCCCCACGACTGACCAAAAGAAGAAAAAGAACAAGAAAAAAAAAGATGATGTTGTAGGGTAAATTAAAGATGCTAAGTTTAATTTGGTAGCTGATAAAGAGTATTCAGGCGGGAAAAGAAGTTTATTTATTTTCAGAATTGCTGCCGCCCCACCCCCTCCCCCCCAGCCAAAAAGGGGTGGGCTGTGGTCTGATCCGAGTTTAGTTAGAGAAGGGGTTGGGGAGAAGGTGTGGCCAGGTGTGGCCGCACTGGATGCAGATGTGACCTCAGGACCTGGGACCCTCCCCTGGTCCAATGGGAAGCAAGGAGAGATGGCCCAGGATGTGACCTCCAGGTGTGCCAGTGACCTAGGTGACACAGGTACAGGGCAGAGACTTAGCCAAGAGGAGGAGGACCCTCCCTGCCGTCCCAGACCCAACCTTACAGATGTATAGTTGCACAAGTCAGGTAGAGACTACATTTCTGTTTGGACAGTGTCACCCCTTCTTTTGCTCTCTTCTAGTTTTTCCTTCCCATCCCCACTCGCAAGTTGAAGAGTTCATAGTGTCTAGTGAGTACCACTGCTGCATTTGTTCACTCTTTGTCCCTCCATTTCTATGCCCTCTCCCCCTTACCCTCCTAAAGACAGATAAATGAACAAATAAGACAAAAAGAAAAATAGAAACAAAACAAAGAAAAATTTCATTTCCATTTCCTGGACTTCCTTTTCCTGGAGTTCATTTTTTTAAATATTATTTGATCAGAGTTACATCAAACACTTAAAAAAAAAAAAACCAGGTTGTCAAATCTCTTGCGGTTCAATCCCTTCTTTCAAGGTGCAGATGAGAATCATTAGCGATCCTACTTCAAAGGGTAGAACAAAAATGAAAAAAAGGAAAAAGGACATGGACAAAATGCTTGTTTAATGTAAAAAGAAAATTAAGAGGAGGTGGAGAAAGAGAATAGGGGAGCCACAGAGGGAGGGAGTTGGCTAAAAGGGAGGGCGAAAGAGAATGGGTGAGTAGAGTTCAGGCAGATTGTTCACAACCATGACAACAGAACAATGAAAAGTTGAAGTTGTTTTGGGAAGGAGGAACAGGGACAAGAGCAGGGGAAGGTGAAGGATGTGGGAGGGAAGAAAGCCATTTATCTCAGCTGCCCTTGGGTAGTTAATCTACTGGAGTCTCAACGTCTGCCAGTCCCTCAGCTCTTCACCTCAAGGCTAGTGCTCTAGCATTTGAGCCACAGCGCCACATCTGGCTTTTTCTGTTTATGTGGTGCTGAGGAATCAAACCCAGGGCCTCATGCATGCAAGGCAAGCACTCAACCACTGAGCCACCTTCCCAGCCCCATGTCCTTCTGTCTTTACCATCAGTCTCTCTCTTCTTGATTTCCCCAGTGGACATTTGAATGTCCCAAGATCTCTGGTCTTAAAGAAAAACAGTCCTTTCCAGTTACCCATCACAACCAATTCCACACCTTAAGTGTGCCTCTACCATCTGCATTCTGTCTCTCTACCCCCATGCCCTCCCCTCTTGGGAACAGAGAGGGTTAAGAATAGTGGGCGATATGTGTGTGCATGCAGGGTCCTGGGGCTGGGTGCTGTGGATTAGCTTTTTTGCTTAAGGCTGGCTGGCATTCTATCACCTGAGCCACACCTGCACTCATAATCTTTTGCTGGTTAATTGGCAATGAAAGTCTCATGACCTTTCCTGCCAGGGCTGGCTTCTGTGACTCTCAGATCTCAGATCTAAGCATTACAGGGGTGGGCCACTGACTTCTGACTACTGAGTAAAACTTTTAAGTATCCTGAGCAGAAGTCAGAAATGTAAGAGGGAAAGTGGGGGAGGGCTTGGTGCTGGCAACACCATACAAACGGGCTTCAATCTAGGAAGAAGCTCATGGATTTTCCCACCAGGGATGGCTTCTAGCTGCGATTTTCAGATCTCAGCCTCTGGAAGGGCTAGGATTATAAATGTCATCCACTGACACCCGCTGACTCTCTTTTAAAGAAGTTTTAAAACTTAAAATTTTTGTTTTACTGTTATTATAAAGGTGATGTACGCAGAAGTTTCAGTCCCGTAAGTCTTTTCCAACGTTGTCACCCCTTCCCAGGCTCTCTCCCAGTTTTCCCTCCCATCCCCACCCACAGGTTGTAGAGTTAATTTTCAACAGTGTCTAGTGAGGACCTCTGCTGCGATCATTCGTCCTCTGTCCCTCCATGTCTGTGCTCCCTTCCCCTCCCAAAGACAGCAGATCAAAGAAGAGGAAAGAAAGCAACGAAGGAAAAATAAAAAGCAACCCTCATGTTTCCATTCCTGGAGTTCGTTTCAATTAGTATTATACGACCAGATGAATAGTTGCTGGACCCAGGCCAGCGTGGGAGGGGGGTCTGGAAACCATCAGCTCCCTGAGATCCTCGGGAGTCTGGATGCCCGGTGAGCGATCGGATTCTCTCCGCTGATCCTCGGCCACAGGACAAAGAGGAAAACAACGACCACGACCCTCCTCAAACCCGGCTCCTGAGGTCCGAGGCTGCAGGTTCAAAGCCAGCGGGGCAGACAGCACCCCCACTTGCCTCCAACCAACCCCCCACCCCCAGCCAGCGTGGGCGGTGCGGTCCGAGCTCCAGGAGCTTCGGGGCGGCTCCCGGGGGGGGCCCCCCTGCACGCGCGCGCGCGCACACACACACACACACACACGCATGCACGCACACACACAGGCGCGCGCACACACGCACATGCATGCACACACGCGTGCGAACACATGCAGGCACACACACGCATGCACGCACACACACGCACACACACGCGCGCACACACATGCATACACACGTGCGCACACGCATGCACGCACACACATGCACGCACACACACAGACGCTGCACACACACACGCGCACACACACGCACACGCGCACGCGTCCCGATGGCTACAGCCAGGGCGGCAGCTCCGGGGCGGCCGCCCGCGGGGTTCCCCCGTCCCTCCTCCCAGCCCGGGTTCCCCGTCCGGCCGCGGCGGCAGGAAGTCCACGGGAACTACAACTCGAGGCATGCTGGGAACAGTCCGCTCCTCCCAGGAAATGTCCTTTGTCCGGCTCCACAGGAAGCCCGGCGAGGAGCCGGCCCGGCGGCCCGGGCCAGGGCCGGCACCGGCGCTCGGGGCGGGGCCGGGCGCCCGGCGGGCGCCGGTGAGCGGACCGGGCCGCGGGGGCGGGGCGGGGCGGGGCAGGACGGGGCGGGGCGGGGGGGTGCGCGCGGAGGGGCCGGGATGCGGGACGGGGCGGGGCGGGGCCGGGCGGGGCGGAGGTGTGCGCGGCTGGGCGCCCGGGCCGGGGCGCGGCGGGGCCGGTGCGCCCGGCCAGCGCAGGTGAGCGGGCCGGGCCGGGGCCGTGCGCGCCGGCGCCCAGGATGGGGCGCCTCGGGGCGGGGCGGGGGGGTCCTGGGGAGCGGGCGCAGGGGGCGGAGGCCCCGCCGGGCCCCTCGGCGGTCCGGCTTCGGGGAGCGGCTTGGAAGGCCGGGGGAAGGCGGAGGCTTTGTGCGGCCCGGACGACTGCGCGCCCCCGCCCGCCCCGCGCGCTGCCCGCGCCGGCCCCGCTCCTTTGCTTCCCTCTCGACCCCGACGGGCGCCCTGCGGGCCGCGATCGGACCGGGCGCGCGGCCCCGCGTGGGGCGGGCGCGGTGGTGGCCCGCCTGGGGACGCGCGAGGCTCGAGGTTCGAGACCCGTGGCGGACCCAGGCTGCCGTGCGCCCCGCCGCGGCCAGGCCTGCGGTGAGATGACCGCTGTCCCCGGGGCCTTCCGCACCTCCCGTCCTCTTACCGGGGATCACCCAGCCCTGCTCCACGAGCACCTGGCCGAGAGGTGTTGGGGCCCTGCCCGCGGCAGGCCGGCCTGTCCCCTGCGGTGCCGGGGTGGCAGCGGGACCGGGTAGCGACTGTGGATGCTGCCTGGCCTTGAACCCGGCGCTTCCTGCTCTTGCTTATTGGCTTCTTTTGGTGCTACCGCTCAAGCCACGCCTCTACCTCCAGCTTTTTGCTGATGAATTGGAGACAAAGCATCTTCTCCGGCTGGCTTTGAACCATGATCCTCATACTCCGGCTTCCTGAACCGAGAGGGTTTGATGGTCTTTTAGATCTGTGATGGATGGGGGGCCTGGACACCGCCAGGGGGACAGTCACTCACCCAGCGCCCCTCCCGCCCGTCTCCGGGTATTCTCCTCCTTCTCCAGAGGAGACGTCACACGGTGGCCCCATGGACGTACGTACGTGTGTATACGTGTGTATGTGCAGGAGTAGGGCTTGAATTCAAGGCCTGGGCACTAGCCCTTTTCACTCAGAGCTGGCACTCTACCACTTGAACCACATCTCCGCTCCAGGCTTTGTTTTCGCTGGATAATTGGAGATAAGAGTCTCACTGACTTTCCCACCCGGCTGGCTTTGAACTGCGAACCTCGGATCTCAGCCTTTTGGTTAGCTGGGATGACAGGCGTGAGCCACCAGGGCCCAGTTTTGTACCTTTACAAAAGGTCTCTTGGTAAACCAGGCAGTGATCGTAAGATAGGGGTATTGGAGCACACACTGGCCGGGATTCCCTGGCTTCTCTAGGATGAGACCATTCATTCTCAGAGAGAATTTGCCGGGGTGGCGAGGGGCGGGGGGGGGGGGGAGGTTGGGGGGGAGAGGTTGGGGGGGCAGGGACGGGACAGGGACAGGGGTGCAGAAGGAAGGTGAAATGAGGGTGTCTGGTTGTCTGGTTGGCATCCATTGTGTGTGTGTGTGTGTGTGTGTGTGTGTGTGTGTGTGTGTGTTGGAGGTGGGATTGTTTCAGAAAGTTCCTATCTCAAGTTCAGCCAAGCCAAGAGAGATTAAGAAGATAGGAGATGGAAGCTTTCTGTAAAAGGAAAACAAGATGGGGTTTGAAAACTATAGGTTTAAGGGGTAAGTGGGTAGAAATGAGAAAAACCCAGCTGATGCAGTGGGGTTTTTGGAGCTAAGAGTCTCAGAAACTTTTCTGCCTGTGCAGCTAGGATGACAGGTGGAGCCGCCGGGGTCCAGTGGGGGATTTTCTTTCTAAGATCCTGTCTTCTCTTTTCTTTGCCTCTGAACAGGCTTCTGGGTCGGACAGTGTTTAATGTTAACATGATTTGCAAAGGTAACTCCTGATTTTGGTATTTACAACCTTTACAATTCTGTCCTATTTCCGTCTTCATTGGACCTGAGTTACTCTGTTATCCACCCATCTTGCAGCAAGCAGGTCTCATTCCAAGATGGGACAGATATTCTTCAGCCTCTGTCATTCAGGTTGGGCCACATGCCTGTTAGACATTCCTTACTGGGCCTTTTGTCTTAAGTCCTAGCCCAAATGATCAACTTCTATAGAAATATCTACTTAAGAGCCTACTTAAAACTAGTTTTATCCTCATGGTACTGTATTGTTATTACTATTAGAGTGTGTGTGTGTATGTGTGTGCATGCGCAGTGCGCAGTACTCTGGCTTGAAGGCCATCTTAGCTTCTCCAACCATTCCCCTATAGTCTCTGGGATTCTATGTTTTGTTAATGAAAAACTTGAGTGACATGCCCCTCCTCCCTCCCCCAGGGCCTTCACTATGCCCAAAACCTGTGACATATGGTAGACTTATAGACACCAGTAAAAGATGAATTTGGTTATGAGTAAAAAAATGCAGACACATTAATAGTGCCAGAAACATTTTCACACCAACAATGTGCTCCTCTTATAGAAGTGGGATCAGAAGAGAGGGTAATGATTTTCTCAGTTAATGCACGGGACATGGAAGAAGTAAGCACCCAGGGCAAGCAGGCCAGAGCAGCTCTCATGGGTGCTGAGTTTCCTGGGCTGTCACAGCACCAGTGCTGAATGGGTTTTTTTGTGTTTGATGATTTTAGGTACTGTGGGCGGAGCCACTGGCATCATTACCCTGTCCCCTCCCCTGTGAAATCTTCTAGGACAAAACTTTTTTGCTGGACATTTGAGAAAAATCACAGGGATTTCCTGATGCAGGTATGGGTGAAAATTAAAAAAGAGAAAGGTTGAGTGAGTTAAGAATGTCATTGTCTTCTCTTAGGTTGATCAGCAGTGAGAGAGTAGTCGTGTGGGTGTGGTTTTGGATTGTCTCGTGGATGGTTGGGGACTGGTAAACTGTGAGCCAGCCACTGCTTCTCTTTGGACAGAAGAGGCAGTCACTTGTCATAAGGTGGGACCTGTTTTTGTTGTTTAACTGGGCTTTTCTGCCTGTGCTGGCTTCAAATTTAAATCTTCAGATCTCAGTCTCATGAGTAGCTAGGATTACAGGCCTAAGACACGGGTGCTGGCTGGAGTGACAGTCTCTTATCAGATAAATCTGTTTGCAAGCCAATTTATGGCTTCTTATTGGCTTGGCATATTTTTGACTACATGTGACCTTTCCCCCTTTCTTTTTAAATTTGTGGTTCTGAGATTTGAACTCAGGGCATGGTACTCTCACTGAGCTTCTTTTGCTCAAAGCTAAGGTTCTACCATTTGAACCACACCTCCACTTTCAAATCTTTGTCTTTTCTAGGTGTACACATGCTAGATTTGTTTTAACCCCAAAGCAGTTTACCCTAGAAATGAGAAAGCATGAAAATAGACTTGAAGAAAAACTTTTACAAAAGTAAATGTCAATTAAGTGGAACAAAACTAGCCCGGAACTAGCTTAGGACACATATGGTAGGAATCCTTTGTTTCTATTTCTCTCCTCCTCCTTGAGTTTTTGGGTTTGTTGATTCAATTAGTGGTTTGATGGCTATTTCTGGTTACCACTTTCTACTGGCATGTATCTTTACAAGCATCCTTGAGTGCCTGTGTTTTCCTCTTAGCTTATTATCAGAGACCTTAATGTTAATGCCATCGAGATGTAAAACATTTGTTTATCACCACAAGCATCTCTTCTGCTACAGCTTAATTCTGGACCCTTAAGGGTTTCTAGGTTGTTGTATGCAGATGAGACAAGAAATCAAGAAAGCTATGCCTTCTGAGTTATACTGAAAAAAAAAAAAAAGATGAAATCTGGCAGAGAGTAAACTTAAGTCTGACTAGACTTCTCAATGCACAATATACATTTCCTCCTGTATTTCAAAGTGCCGCCTGTCCTCCCTCTCTCCAGCAACTTCTTTAGTCTCATAATTACTTTGAAAAGGTCAAGTGTGGTCTTTCCTCATTCATAGTTTAATTTCTGTTATTGCTAGTCCTGTATTTTCTAGAGTGGAAGAAGAGCGGACAACCTAATGGGGCAGTGTAGGAACAATTCCCACTACAAATACAAAGGATCCTGGGCCCTCTCCATTCTTTGCCCAAATGAATCAAGGATTAAAAGCAAGGCCTGGTTAAAGAACCACACTGGATACACAAGGGGGTGCTCACACTTGACCCAGGGTTACAGATTGGAGAATGATCTGACTAATGTTTGAGGCTGGTTGCCACTGTCTTTGGCAGGATTATTAAGCATGCTTGAAGGCTCCTGCTGTTGACAGGTGATTGGATCCTGTTAAGGGAGCCAGGCTGTTTCCAAGGCTCAGCCTTACCTGATAGCATCTTGCCAGATTCCTGTCTCTAGTTTTGTTTTTCTTTTGAGGCAGAGAGAATACTGATGTGATTTTCTCCATTTCAAGAAATACTTAAGAGTCTGGGTCACCAAGTGGATAAAATACAATTCAGAGCTGAGAGGTGGTGGGGGATGGGAGAGAGGAGGAGAACCAGTGATGAGAGGTGAATTATTAGCCATGAGAGAATATCTAACAACACTCAGCTGCATAGGATGGGGAATAGCACTACTAAGAGTCCAGAATGAAATAAAATAATTCCGTCTGAACATTTAACCCTGTAAGGCTCCGTTCTTTCCATCTTTCAGGTGAAAAATGTAGGCTCAGTGAGAACTTGAATGGGGCTGGACTATTCCTCAGAGATAGACAGAGCCTGCCTAGTGTGTGTGAAGGAAGAAAAGGGAGGAAGGAGGAGAGGGAGAGAGGGAAAGTAGGAATGGGGAGAGAGAAAGAAGGGGGGAAAGGGAATGCAAAGAGGGAAGGAGGGAGAGAAGGAGGGGAAAGAGGGAGAGATGGGGAGATGGGAGGGAGAGATGGGAGGAAGGAGCAGGAAGTGAAGGAAGGAAAGAAGGGATAGAAAGAATAAGCTTAAGGAGGAGGAAACAGAATCAGAGGGAAATGGGAAAACACACAACAGAGGGGCCTATCAATTGCACTGGACATGGATGAAAATGAACTAAGGAACTCAAAGGCAGCGATGGGAGGGAAGGAGAGGGAAAGAGGGAACAGCTGACACTAAGCAAAGAAATGTAAATACTACCTGATGTGGAAGAAATAGTTGTATTGTCAAAGCTCATAGAATTCATAAACTTTATAGACCGTGATATTGATAATTTGCCTCATGAAGGTTAAAATGTGTGTGTACCTTTTAAGTATCACTATTCCACAATATTGTGAAATTTGTGCAATCATCTAATCTCAATAGAAAATTATTAAAAAGAAAGCAAGAGTGAGCTTAAGGTGGCCGGCTAGAGGCTGATTCACCACCAGTGGCATGGCCCCAGAGTGGCTCAGAGTGAGATGCCATGTTTCTTTTTCTTTTTCTTTTTTGATCTGTCATGGGGCTTGAACTCTGGGCTTTGGTGCTGTCCCTGTGCTCTTCAGCTCAAGGCAAGCACTCTACCCCTTGAACCTCAGCGCCACTTCTGGTTTTCTAGTGGTTTATTGGAGATAAGATTCTCACAGACTTTTCTGCCTGGGCTGGCTTTGAACCATGATCCTCAGATCTCAGCCTCCTGAGTAGCGAGGATTACAGGTGTGAGCCACTGGTGCCCAGTTTATACCATGTTTCTTGAGCAGGGACAGCATGGGGTGTGGGGAATGCAGCCTCTTTTTGTCTGGGGGTGATGTGGAGGTTGAGAGCCCCTTGGCTGCATGGCTGAGGGCTGGCACTGTGCCTTCAGGCTCGCTGTTGTTTGGAGCGGTAACTCCAGAAGCTGTTGGCTGCCGGACGTGCGGTTGCCTGTGGCTAGCACGAGAAGCCACTGAGAAAGGAAGAGAAGAGAAATGTCAAGGGAACTGGTAGCTGCTTTGATTTAAAGAGGTGAGAGACATGTCAAAGTAGACTCCAGGGTTTTGAGCCTAATAAGAACAAAGAAATAGCCGGGCACTGGTGGCTCACGCCTGTAATCCTAGCTACTCAGGAGGCTGAGATCTGAGGATCGGTGTTCAAAGCCAGCCTGGGCAGGAGAGACCGTGAGACTCCTATCTCCAATAAACCACCAGAAAACCGGAAGTGGCGCTGTAGCTCAAGTGGTAGAGTGCTCGCCTTGAGCTGAAGAGCTGAGGGACAGCGCCCAGGCCCAGAGTTCAAGCCCCATGACCGACAAAAAAAAAAAAGAACAAAGAAATAATGCCATGCTTAGTTCTCCACCAACTGGCTACATTGATGAGTTCTTTGATCCTCCTTTTTCCAATTGGGAAAATGAGGAGTCATTTAAGTGAAATTTCAATAGAAAATAAAATAGCTTCCTTGACATCTGCAGATCTATTCTCTTCAGCAAACTTTTGTGGTCTGCCTCTGCCACATGGCCTACTGACACATACCCTTCCACGCAGGAGTGCAAAGCTACTAGACAGGAGGAGAAAGATGACAGGCGTTGAACTTATTGTAATGGGTTATGTTGGGCAGGCTAGGTTTTTGTGTAGTATGTATATGTGTGTGTGTACGCGTGTGCATGGGTGTGCTGAACTGGGGCTTGAACTCAGGGCCTCATGCTTTGTTCATAGTTGATGCTCTACCACTTGAGCTATACAGCACCTCCAATTCCAGGTTTTGCTGGTTGTTTGGAGATACATTTATCTGCCTGGGCTAGCTTTGAACCTAGACTCCTAAGAGCTTACCTTCTTGGGTAGCTAGGATCATACAGATGTGTGCCACCAGTTTGTATCTTTTTTTGGTGTTGAGTGTAAACTTCATCTCCTTTTCTGACAGAGTTGTACTCCTGAAATCTCCTTCTTGATCTGAGTGTTTCCATACTGTTATTTGCAGGTAAGATGACTTTGCTAACAATCTAAAGATTTGTTAGGGATGTGTTTGTGATTTTGGCCACAGGGTCATTCTTTTTCCTGTGGGCAGATGGTTAGCTGTGAAGCATTTTGTGTGCTGAGTAGGTTATGGCTTGATTAATGAAAGCATCTGAAAGGATCTATAAGGAATGACTTACCGCTGTTAGTGAACCTGCCCTGTAATGCACATGACTCAAATAAAAAGCAGGTGGATGATGGTGGAAGGCCCACTGTGCCACTGAAGATAGCCAAGCATGCTTGGCTGTGAGGTATAGGGGGGCAGTGGTGGTGGTATATGAAAGGAACAAAGTTGAATACCAGTGACTGAGGCTCGTGTCTGCTGTAGCGTGGGTAATTCCCTTCTTCTTTCTGGAGTGCTGTTCCCTGACTCATCCCACAAAATATGTGCTGGATGACATCACCAAACTGCAGGACATAGTTGTATCTGCTAGATCCCTGGAATTTGAATCTTTATCCGGACTTGAATTTGCAGATGTTTCTGTTCTGTCTGTGTCACTGGTTTTGGATTTACTGCCAGTATTTACTTCTGGATCCTGTCTGAAATGGGCCTTCTCATTAGAAGGACGTGGCCACACACCCAGTAATAAGGTTTTGGGAAGTAGGTTTGACTCTGAAGGCTTAGAACCTAGGCTTAGAGAACCTGTACTAATGCTGAAGAAAAAAAAAATTGTTTTTCTGTTTACAAGTTTGTGCAGTCTGACAGCACATTTCTTTGAGAAATGTCAGAACTAGACATAAGAGGGATGGAAGGGACTGAACTCTATGGAGGATGACTTCCTGACTGTGGTATTCAGGTTACAAATGATCCCTGGGCACTTACAGCCTTGCTCTTTAGCCAGGCGTATCACTTCCTGGATGGAGGCCAGCCATGCCCTCTGGCTAGTTCTGTCTACCTTTGACTGAGATGGAAAA